AAAAAAACATTAATGCTAACATAATAAAATGCTGTCATTAGGTTCACCTTCTTAATTAAAATTTTAATTTCCTCTCACTCTTTCACTAAATTCTCATGCTTTTTCACATATAATTAGTCCACTTACAAATATATCGTCATTTCTGAAGTGCAAACAGCACTGAAATTTAATAGCATTCAAATTGTTTTTCGTCAAAAGTCTTTCGATTTGATGAAAAATATTTCTTTTTGTTTGCATTTGTCCTGAATAGGTTTTAATGGTACGTAATAGGTCTCGTACGTTTTGATGACCTTCATTTTTTGTATGCAACGTTATGTTCCTTCATTTTATGCTCAGGATCATGCAAGATTAAAGATGAAAAAGATAATTTAACGTATTAATTATTATTTTACGATTAGGAAAATTATGCGTCATTGAATACTCGTATCATATAGGGTGTCCTGCAGTAAATGGTGAACAATTTAATAAATTATTTAACATCATATACAACGAAAATGAAATGAAAAGAAAATATGATATTAATTGGAATATTACTGACTCTTATTCAATGCTACACGATTTCGTTTATGACGAGTCATGTTTATAAACATAGTTCTTACAGGATATTACGCAATATCAATATTCTACATCTTATTCTTAGCATCTTAAGTCCGTTCTTATAATATTATATAATGGACAAAGTTTGAACATCGATAGAGGTGATAGTTCTTAAGAATATCTTAGCAACAGTTCACTTTAGACTTTACGCTCTATGCAAATTTAGGAAGGTATATAAAGGAGTACAATTTAGAAGCTGCAGGTGTATCGCAAAGAATTTTCGAGTTCTTTGAAGACGTTGTGTTACGAAAGTCACCCTATGTATAGACGGAAATTCATTTCGACGTTAAATTATTCTACAAAAACATTATGTCAAGTATACATTTTGCATACTGCATATCTTGTGGATGTTAGGCATAAGAAAATATGTAACTGCACTGTATCAACTGAAGGTATTTTATAAACTGCTATGTTCTGTCAGTTACTACATACAAATTCAAAACTTGTTTAGTAAATAAATTTCATCTTTCGTTTACTCATTTTGAAACAATGTTACGACGAAACGTAGAATTTCAAGGGCTGTTTTAATTTCCCTTCGCAGCTGGTATGTACAATACATGTTTTCTAACTCCTTTTTTAAGCAATTTTTCGATCGTAAGCGTGGGCAAAAAAATTATTTTTCTGTGAAAGATCATTGCATTATGTATTATTATAGAAAACATTAACGCTTCTTAGCGTTGGTAATAAACGTATTAACAAATTAATTAATTTACAAAATATTAAGTCTAGAAATTTCTGTCCGATAATGTCATTTCAAATCTCCAGAAAATGAGTCATTCTACAGGAATCGAATCTACAAATTATTACCATCACGCTAGAAAGAGGTCATTAGTAACAAAAAAAATTATATTGTCCAGCAAATATTAACTCTTTGACCTACAATATCCTGTCAGACTCGTAACGAAAATTTTCAACTTAATCCGAGAGATCTAAGTATTATTTATTTTTTTTTAATATAAATTAAATATTGCCTTTCTATTAAAATTCGGAGTGTAGATAACCATAGGATAAGCATCAAAATTGTTCCTTTTGCTAATAAATTATTTAGGACAAAGTAGTTGTATCGATCATAATTAAGAAATAAATCATAGTACGAGGAGTTCGTAAATATATGAAAAATGTATTAGTTTCTTTTCATTCAAGAACGGACAGAATTTTCCTGCAGACCACCAAATATGCAAATACCCGATCTCTCTTTACAATATTCTATATCGAGCACATCGAACCGCGTTCATGCGCACACAAAGGTCAGTTTCGGAGCCGGTTACTGTTAACACGCTTGGTAAAAATATGTTAACAGGAATGCCACTGCGAATATCTATAGTAAAACGAAGTACCTGTTCGAATAGGATAACGTCCTGTGAGGAAAGCTGTCCTTGATGGCGTGCATATCGGCAAGACATAATGGCGTTGCAATATGATACCATTGTAGGCGAGAGCGTCTATATTCGGCGTAGGTATTTGATTAGCACCATGAAAACTTACGTCATTCCAACCCTTAACGAGGAAAATTTCAATATTTATCATTAGCGTATGAAGTTATTCCCTTGTCCTATAATAACCGTGCCAGACTCGTGATAAAAGTTTCAAACTAAATTCGACAAATCTAAATATTACTTACTTGTTTTCAATATAAATTAAAGACTATTTTTTTGTTATCGACAATGAACCTTTAGAGTAAACATACAGTAAATTCTATATTTTATATAGAATTCTATATAGAATTATATATTCTATGAACCTTTAAAGTAAATTATTAACGATAAAGTAATTCTATAAAGCACAGTTGTGAAAGAAATCATAGGTCAAAAGGTAAAATACCTTCGATATTAGAATTAATTGCAGGTAAAAAATTGACTTTTGCACGAGGTCTGCTTGATTACGCCAACCTAGCAGTAACCATTGTTCTACTTGTTTGTTTATTTATGTAATGGAAGGAGGGCATACAATTTTATGTTGAATTTCTGTTTAAAACTTACGTATGATAGCAATTCTGTTATAATTTCAAATGATTGTTCATCGTTCAGAGTTTACAGATATCTTATATGGGGCGTTTATAATGTTATAATCTATATTTGGGAAATAATGAATACGTCATTGTATCGTTTACACACTCTTTGAATTGCGACAAAGTTTGAAGCAGCGTTATGCAGGATTATCGGTTGATTGTAAATTTAAAAAACGTATTTACAGAAACATAGTATACATTTAGAAAATATATACAATTATTTTAAATATAGTGTGTTCTTGAACTATTGAAAACAGTGAAATTGAATAGTAATTCTGCTATCAGAGGTAAGAACTATTAATGCACACAAACCGGTATACCTGTAAATTTTCTTACAAGGTGAGATAAGATGATGACGCGGGGGAAAATAGAACAATCGTTTATATCGCGTTATTACATATTCACGTAACTAGAAATAAAGAAACGCGTCAATTACACAATAAATAATACGTTAAAATTAGTTTATCTCAGTTAAAATCAGTTAATTCTCCCGTATTTCTCGGACATAATTCTAATTCTTAAGATTGTAATCTTATTCTTTAACGTAATTTGAATGTTATTATCATTTTAATATTATCAGAAAATTTCTCGGGATTTTTATTCGTCTGCTTATGAACGTCAATCGTAAATAAACCTGTAATGATATTATTGTTCAATTAATTTCGATATGACACTTAGGACAAAATGAAGACATTCTCGTAATATCGCTTAATTTTTAAATAAAATAGTTACGTACAAAAGAAAAACAGAGAGACGAATTGGAACCAAGAAATGAATGCAGAAAACTGTTCAAGCAACTATATAGAAGAAAATGAGATATCGTGAGGGGATTGCAGATTTCACTATGGTTAAATTTATATTGGAGTGGAAAATATCTCTTTGCCAACAAATACTCAAGAGTATGTAGTTTGAGACTCAGCACAACTGTGTTTTCAGTAGGTACTATCATAGTACAACTTGGTAACATTGACAACATCCTCTATATACGTGACGCAAATAGATGCGTCCCATTCATACATAAAACAAGACATGATTTTGTTACTATTTTCAAAATTATCTTTTCTGTTTTTAACGTTTTATAAACCTATCGGATAGATAGGGAGCTGGTGGCCTTTTCCTCTTTCAATGTTTCGGTGAGCGGCCCCTTTCATACCTAGGTAAGTATCTAAGTACCTGCCAGGCTCGTACTGTAGTTGCAATAGTGTCAGCTGATACAAATGTGTGTGAATGTATACAGTAGTAATTGCAAAAGGAGGAATTCGACTGCAATCGTCAGAGCCTAGTGGGTATGGAGGGGATTACTCAACAAAGAAGCAAAAGAGTGAAGTGGCCCGCGGGCTATTGGTTCCTCATTATTTACTAGGTAGCATGCGCCTCTCACGTCCTAAATTAATCCTAAACGCTAAAAGTGCACAGGGGCAAGGGGAATCAGCAACATGCTCCACCTCGGTGCTTCCAGGAAACATAGTAGTCGATAAACATAAATCATCGGGATCCGGTAAACATAGAAAATGGCTGCCGCGTAGAAACAAAGTTCAATGTCAACGTTCGTGACACCTCACTCCTCACTCGCATTCTGTTTTGTCTTGCTTGCTTTGTCATTGCTAACATCTTGAATGGAAGAGTTCCCTTGCTTCTGTCACTTTTTAGCTTTTTAGCTTTTTAGCTATATTCTACAAAAACATTTTTCCGAAATGGTTCGAAGAATTTTTATTTTTGGTACAAATTTAATCAGATTAATCAATACTTTTCCTACATGTAAGGTATTTATTTAAATAATCTTGGAACATATATTTTATTTTTGAAATATGTTATATAGAAGCTGGCAATTTAGTTTCTATTATATAAAAAACTAACACTATTAAAAACTAGATTATTTTGTTAAAAAGATAAAAGATCAACTCATGTCGAGTTACTTTTCAAAATAATTTTCAAACAAGAACAAAAATTCATTTAATCCCTTTCGATTACAATCCTAAATATTACGCGACAAATGATTTCTGACGTGAAAATTTATTTGTACATTCCATTATTGTAAAAATTAATGACAACTTTTTCCAATATCATCATCACCAAAAATTCGAAATCAGCGAAAGGATGCCTCGTATCCGTCAACTCTCGCAACTTTGTATGAACTAATACATATGTATCATATTTGAATTTAATCAGTCACTGATATGTCCAAAATAATCAGTATAACATCGAGTGATGTTATTGTTAAAAATTATTAATTAACCTTGAAAATATTAATATTTTCAAATTGTTAATATTCTCATGATTAGTTTTACACGAAAGAACTCATGAAGTTCTCTTGGTGCTTATGAAACATCTATTTTATCTCAGAAATAGTGATGACAATAATAAACTTACCAAGTCATCTGCGACAATAACAATTATATTCGGCCGTTGCGCTTTCGATTGTTTTGCACGACGGTGTTCTTGTGATACCGCAAGATATATGCATCCTGATAAGACAACAATGGATACTATAAAAAGTGCAATACGTGTTTTTGCCTGCAACAACATTTTTAATGTCTCACTTGAAATAAGTTCAATGAAATTCAAATGCAAAACAAACAACACCGATATTTTTCACGAAGTTTTCCAGAAATGTTTAGTGACTAAAAAGAAATGTTTGTTCTATAAATGCACTGCACTAAATAACTTAAAACAGTACCATGAATACAATACGTAATGATAGCTCCTGCACCTTCTTCTGCGGATAGGTAACGTTCACTCGATAACAACAGACTTGCGTCAAGAGCACAACTGTAACGAGTAACCATGGTTTGCGGGCTTTATACCATCAATAGAGAAAGTATTGGGACAGCGCAAATATCCTGATATCAATTTTATAACATTAACAAGAGACTTTGTGAAAAATAAAAATATTATATTTACTTAATAATGATATTTAAGCATACCAATAACGTATTTGATTAATATTTATTTGACAATAATGTATTTACTTAATAATTATTATTCCTGATAAATTATTTATTTATTATAATAATTCATATCATTTTTCGTTCAAAATTGTATCGTTTCACTGTTCTTAGGTTGCAAAGTCAAAGGTTTTTAAGTAGTTTTAATCTATTCGTCACAAATTATTGCACTATCTTTAGAAGTATGAGCATGATAGTCTGTAAAATGCTATTTGGAATATATGTCAGAAAGGAATGAAGTATTTATTGGAGTGTTTACATTTCTTTATATATGAACAATTAACAATGCAATGATTTCTGATTCCATAATATTTTTGATTTACCGAATATACTGAGTTGATGCAATTTTATGCTAAATTCTAGTAATACTTATGTCTGATTTTATTTATCTCTTCAGATATAATACCGCATATTTTATATAAAGTACTCTGTTTGAAGGGAGACATTATTCGGTGCAAATAGACTTTCGTACATAAAAATATAGAAATTATTTTGAAATTAATTTATACATTTACATACATAAAATATTAATTTATGATTTTCTGAGATACATTGTTTAATTCGATTTAATAAACACGACCATATTATAAATAAAGACATGTAGGATGCCACTAAAAACAAGTTAAATTGATTTTGTATCTTTTCCACAATTGCATGTACAAAAAGAATTATTTACATTATCAATGTTATCAAACATTGCATCAAATAAAAATATTTACGAAAATCATTTTTTCAATTAAATTAATAAAATGAATATAATTGACGTTGGGTAATTTTGATGGTTAACTTAGATAGTACTTTGTGAAAAATAAAATAAAAAAAAAGCAAGGTTTCGAAAATGTATTATGAATCATTTAACGTAATTTCTAAATCATCTACTTCAGTAAAAAGTTATTTCAATATAATAAATAATTTCTTTCGTACAATTCCGTGTTCAAATGCAACGATTTGGGTATACCGATGTTTTGCTAATTGCTGTGTTTGCTGATTATGTAGGATAACTTTTATTGCAGAAGCGATAAGTGGAAGATGTTATATTGGTAAGAACTGATATCTATCTATGCAATTTAATTAGTGTTATCATTGCCAACTTTTTCATTAACGGCAATGTCAATATTTATATAAGATAATGATTGCTATGCTATATCTTCAAAATGTGTGCAGATTGCTTATGAAAATTAAATTCCCTTAAATCAAAAATTCTGATTTCAGTCAAACTTCCTAACATTGTAGAACATGTTGAATTGTATCGGCTATATTTTTATGGAGAACAGTAAGGACATAGAGATTAATTAATTAAAGTTTTTGTGTGTTCTCATTTATTTAGATTTAACGACCTGGTTATAACTGTCTTTTCTATACTTATATTTCCGTATAGCAAAACTCAAAGTACCTTGATTATAGTAGGTACCGAGCGAATTATCTAAATCGAAATCTACGAATATCTTCGAAACCTTTGATGATTATGAACAATTTTTCAAATAAGAATTGAAAATTCTTACGCGAAGAAAACATAATTCGATGAAATTAGTTATTTTTAAGGGGATGTGTGCATTTAGTTTTTAAATGTCATTTCCCATACACCGTACACGATTTTCGCGCATGAAAAAAAAACGTTTATTCTAAAACCACGTGAACTGTGTACATAATAACATTAAAAAAGTTACTTTACAGTAAACATGTTCAAATTTGGTTCGCTCACTATTACAGAAAATATTCTAGTACATCTCCGACAGTTTGGATATATTGTTCTGATGATTCTTATTGGCATATTTTATTCAGGTATTACATTTTGATTGTACTAACTTATTTAAATTTTTACAATAGAGTCATTCAGAGAAACTTATTTGAACCTTTGATCTAGAAAAAATTTCATAATAATTTTGTACTTTGAAACTACGTACAGAAAGATGCGAAAGAAAATATTAATAAAAACATACAGATCGAAGTGATCGAAATATCATCATTTCAAAACGTCTTTAAGAGCGAGAAGAATCTAACTTACATAATCACATTTCTGATTATTTAATCTCTGAATTGCATGTGTAATGCGAGTATAAAATTCAAACTATTTGTTTGTTCTATAAATATATATGTAACATTGTTAAATTTCTCCTAAAATAAATAAATTCTCGATGTCTCTGTGATCTAAGGTTACATTTACAACGCTTTACTACGAAGATAAAAGTAACGCGTTCAAACGAAATTATTCAACAATATCGAAATAAAAATGAAGAACAGATGGACACAACAGACTAAATTTCCAAGCATCGCTGCGGCGCTTGGTACGTATACGTTAACTCCAGACATCATCCATGGTTCCCACGTGTTGTTCCTTCTTCTAGGATCGGCCAATGTGTCGACAGGTAATTTGGTTTGCCTTACTAAAATGCGGCCGTATCTTTCTAGGTAAAGGTCCAAGTCTCGCGCAATCTATAAATAGATCATTTGCACAATCATGTTATTACTTGTAAAAAACCGAAACTTTTTGCTATCTCTAGAAACATAAGTTGCGGACTAAAGTTTCCGAACGATATCGTTTTTCTTGTTTCATACAATTTAATATATTCTGTTCGAAGTTACTAAATAGCTTTAATAATTGTAATACTTTTAATAATTTAAACAGTTTTAATAAACAGTTCAGACGGGTCTGTGTTGATAATTAAATTCTATATTACTGTAAATGATTACATAACGATATACATTAAATTCCATCGATTGCAAAACATTAATCAACTGTACAAGATGTCTCGCCTAAATAGGTACATCTACATATCTCTGTTGATTTTAAGAATTAAAAGAATTAAGAAAAGAATAAATGAAGAATTTATTATTTTAAAAAAAGTATTTCGAAGGAAGCGCTGCAGACTTTGAACAAACGCTCAGAGAAATGCTATTATTCGAACACTTCTGAGTCGCAATAAAGCGACCTGGTTTGCCAGCTGTTACCTTGCGTTCAAACGAAGCATAAATTTTTTTTCAAATTTTGTTCAAATATGTATCCACTTCAATTAAAACATCTACTAGGTCAGACTTAAAATAGCTCAGACAGTAATGAGAAAAGCAAACACATAAATATACAAGATATCTCGAGAACGGCGCCAATGCAATGAAATTAAGTCATTATTAATAATATTACGTCACGAGGTATTTCTTCTCCAGTTGTAAAGGAATTAAAAAAGATCGTGTAAGTGATCCTTTTATAGGAGTGAATAATGAACAGATATAAATGTTTTATCCTTCAAATATTTCTGCTTACTGACACGATATCATAAAGCAAAGGGTTAAACGTAGAAATCATCGCAAATTTAATTACTGTAGAATAATTACCGGTTTGCTTTCCTTAATTTATAAATCGATAAAAATAATTCACACAGGAACTACCGCGTCAAAGAGGTTAATTTCGATTTTATTGTTTTGCGATTATTTATAAATAAATCCAATAAAATAAATCGTTTCACTTGAATACTATAATGAACATCCGAAGAAACTGAAAATAATCTATTGTTACAATTTTTATAAGAATTACATACTAATTACATGAAATGCTCAATAGCTCTAGTGTAAAATGCTCGGAAATGTTTAAGCAGTTGCGGTAGCACTTGATAAATTAGTAATTGCTGAATGCTAATGGTACTTACTCTGGGGTAACCCGCGGCAATGTTTCTTGTTTCGCATGGATCATTTATTATATCGAATAAACATTCTGTAACATTACAAGTGGTAAACCCGTGCCTACGAATATACGTCATATTTGGACGACAATAGAGCGTTGCCGCGTCTTCTCGTAACTGCAGCAAAGTACTTGGTTGTGTCACTGGACCTCCTAAATGATAGGTGATACCCTGAGATACTGCACTGTTCATTACTTGCTCCGAATACGGCACAACATCTCTCATTCTGCCGGAATCGCCATAATATCCATCGTAATTGCCATTTTGGATAGAACCTTGGGAACAAGAAATGCCATTGTGTAAGTGGAAGAATAATCACTTCAAAACATATCAAACAATACAATTTAATGTTAAATTCCACGACCAAAAAATCAATTATTAATTACTAAATAACATACACGAATATCATCCAATAAATATATATTTTCCTGTTCTTTTGAAAAGTTATGTCCTAACTTTTAACACATAGAATATGGAGATCAAATATGATTTACCTCATTCAATGTACAATACCAATGTGATCTTTCAAGTAGTTTATTGAGCTTATGATTTTAACTGATTATTTTTTATTGATAGAATATTGTTTCATTCGTTGGGATAGTAGGTTTATAAAATGGTCTACCGTGTCGATTTTATGATTCTCAGTTTCTGTAACATCAATAAGCGAGACAAAGCATATTTTACTGTAACGCGTTTTTATTTTAAACCACAAGTAATTGAATAATTACAAATTCGTCGTCAATGAACAGATTTCGCAGTCATAAATAGCCATTTCGTCGAATATTTTGATAACACTCGATCGTTCTATATTTTAATATTTACCTCGCAGCAATTTGAACCGACTGTATATTGCTCCCTCGGTTTTGAAAACTTCGTCGATATTTAGTAACAGGATCTCCCTGCCAGTCCCGCGTCCTTCGCTAAGGACTTGCCATTGATTGACACCATCGATCACGCCTAGATCTTTCAAGTCTCCACCAGCTGCCGCATAAAGAGTTGGCAGCCAATCTGTTATGTGTATCAAATTATGCACAACCCGTGCTGATTTCCGTAGCCTCGGTGACCATAATGCTGCGACACCTCTCACGCCTCCTTCGTACAAAGTATATTTTGTCTGCAATGAAAACAAACAAAAAGGTACTTATAAAACTCTGAAAGTTGTAAGTATACCATTTCTAATAAAAACGGAACGAATAGTAAAACAATAGCTTGCGTGTATACGTATAAGTTTTAAAAATAAGTCAACACATTGCGTACCAGCTAATTATCAGAATGCTGACGTTTCTGGCCGGCGATTTTCAACGACATCAACTTATATCAGTGGTTTCCAAACTGTATGTTACTACGTACCCCTTTAAAAAAAAATCTAATCTTGATTCTTTATCTGTTAGACTACTTTATTTCATAAAATAATGCACACGCATTTTTGAATGGTAAAAAAATGTATTCATGCAAAAAATTCGGAAAACGTGATTGATAGAATAATCACTTTTCCCGCCTCCTTCTACAGTAGTCTGTGCCTCTCAGTTTGGAAATCGCTGACCTATATCATTATATGTAAAAGCTACTCAAATACATCTATTTTATAAAAAATATAAAAGCTACGTAAATAATTTTTTCTAATGGAAATTCAAATTATGCCAAACAGATAGAGGAATCTATTTCATATTTTTCATTGAGAGTACGGATTTTTTCAATATAACGAATTTATTATTCATTATATTTTAAGCTTTCAGTTGCGAACAGAATCAAGTTGATTGAACAGTGTTGAAATTTTAATATTTAAAGAAATTCTTTTTAGAAATGGATATCCAGGTTTGTAAATACAATATTTCATAGACTGCATACAGGGTATTTAAAAAGCGTTGTCATATTCATATGGCAAATACAGCATACATACTAAGTAGAAAAGAATTTTAGTTAGCAGAAATCGGATGTTTAAGCAGTTCCAAGGCATAAACGTTTTATATGTTAACACGTTTGCATAATACTGCAAATTTGTTATTTTCGCATGAAACATACAAGCATTTAAAGACGTGCCACCAACATCAAATAATCGGAATATAAAACTTTAAATTATTTGTCAAGCTCTATCATACTACAATACAAATTTTTCATAAGTGCATCGATGCAGTTGCAGATGCACTTTTCTTAAAAATGAAACTCTACGGTTTTGTTTGCATACATTTTTTCAAAGAAACTAATTTGTTTAAAAGAAGCTTATATTGTTTAAGGATATCAAAGAATGACAGCCAGTAAATTTTATAACAAATTTGCAAACACTTTCGTCAATCATTGTATTCAAACATTTCGTTTCATTTAGTCAATTCATGCTGTTATAAAATTGAATTAGGTACGTTAGTATGTAGCTTCGCATAATTATAACGATAATCTCACTCCTCTCAAAGGATAGTTTGAACCCCAGTTTCTATCGTGGCCAATGGACGCAGCCCCATTGTCAGTGAGAAACAGGATCAAAGAGTCCCTGAGCATTCCTTTCTCTCCTAATGCGTGAAAAATCCTTCCAACCGAATCGTCCAACTGCGACACCATTTCTAATTACAATAAAATATTGTAACAGTTTATATTATGGTTGAAACTACGATATATCACATGTAAGATACACATTACAGGAATCTTAAATACAATATTCATAGAGGATGATGGTATCGAGTCCAAGAAAATTTAAAGGATAATTTTTCATGACAAACAAACTTTTTCTTTTGGTTATTTATAACAAATTATTAACATTCAAAAATCTTGTAAACTTTGAAAATTATATTCTTACGTAATAACTTCAGAAAAAGAATTACTTTTCAAAAGACAATCCTTTCGCACTAAAACTACGGAATAGTTAAATTAACTTTTTGGAATTCCTCTATAGAACCTTCAACAGTGCATGTATTGAGACTTTGATTGATTTGCAATTCAATATTCGTGTTTCTAAATCGATTTCTTTAATAATCCTCGTAGAAACTGGGTTATTTTGACCCATCTAGTAATTTTAGTGTTAACACGTTGAGCGCGGAGCCAATTTTCTTCTGATTTTCGTTCAGAAAATTATAACTTCATTAAAATTACAACACTTATTGTTTAACCTTGACACTGGCGGTGTCGCCCAAACGATAAGTTCGCTGTCAGTCCCTAGGAACTGACGTCGCGTTCAACGTGTTAAACAACTTCACCCTTCGCTTAGGTACAATTCTTTCGGACGGCATTAAACGGGTTAAACATCGAATCCCAAAGTTACGATTACGACGGACATTCGACCTTAAACGGTTAAAATAGATAAAATACGACTTGCACGTTTTGCGTATATACATACTGGCATATGTCCGTCGGTTTGGTTCACGAATATGAGTGAATTGCTTGTCGTTGTACAGATCCACGGGTTCTTCTAGCGGGGCGTGAACTGCGAGATGCGATATATGAAGATAAAGTGGTCTGGGATTCTCGTGTTTCTCGATAATCCTAATCGCTTCTTCGGTGAAGAAGTCTGTAGCATATTCGCGGTCAATTCCGTGAGCAGGATCGTCTCCACGATGCATATCGAAGCCAGCCATGTTCTGAAAAAATCAAATACACATTGAATCCCTGATAAAAAAATTAGGTCTACCATTGATATAACCTATTTTATTATAACTATAAAATGGCAAAATCAATATTGTTTATTTATATGTTATGCAGCATACAATAAAGTATGCATGTCTTCAATGTATCTACAGTCCCCGATAAAAAAATGAGGCCTACCGTTAATGCTATCTTTGCGAAGATCAGCAATGAATCAGCAGTCTGATTTCTCGTCTAGTCGTTTTCTAATATTAATTTCTTATAACTCAGGTTTAACTTCTTTACACTAAAGAGGTGCCTCTCAGTCGCCAATTGATTTGACACAGCAAAATTGTAAAGTTTAATACTTAATATTAAACTCTGTATAACGCACCGATATGCGAGATATTGAATTAGCTTTGTTCCTCAATCTATGTGCCATTTCTCGTTACGTTGGTTGCAAAAAATGTCTGTATCTTATTAGAAAATGTTGAGTATTTCTAGTGAAACATTTCCGGAGTACAAAGGGTTAACACTACGAAGGAAGAATTATTATTAAATTACCTCTTGAACTTTTAATACCATGATTAGCGTGAAAAGTGTGACGTACAAATTATAGTGGATCTGATTTTTCGATCAGGAACTGTAAAACGACACGGATTCACTAAGAAACATTTAAAAAAAATTCCTTTTGTTCGACTTCTTTAGTTCTGAACTGTTATTCTTTTTGTGAATATTGTTTATACATTTATACAGTCAGTTTCATTGCGTTTATATTTTGTTATTTATTGTATCTTAATATTTTTTAATGGCTAGTTGACATCGCGAGGTGGTTAGGATAAAACCATGATGCTAGGGGGGTCGCCAGAATCTAATGTTACGGAGAGAACGATGTAGGTCAGAGTCATTTTCACACTTAACAGTTTTAATCTCATTTCGGCTCTTTAACTGTTTCAAGAGGCTTCACAGAAGCAGAGATTATAATGGCTTTCTACTCTTGTTTAGGGCAATGCAGTTGCGTAAGAAAGGGATTAGGTTATAAAAGAAAAAAGGTAATACGGAATGCAGTCTTAAACAGGGGAAGTACGTGAAATTTTCTACAGGTTTCACATACATCGACATTCTTTTAAAACCTACGTACTTTCCTGATAAATGTTATATAGACCCTAAAAATATTTAATCTTCTTCACTGAAATCAGAGTATCTGCCATAAAGAAACAACGAAAAAAGAACTATATAAATATTCATCAATACTTGTATAATAATAAAGGCCATATTCCAAATTTTCCTTTAAATTCATTCTTTTATAAGAAAAAAATTGTGAAAAGTTCATGTAACGTTTATACACTTGAGGTGGTCTAATCCCTTAATTCTCAAAAAACAATATTATTTCACATCATTTTATTATTTATGAATTTCTTGAAATGAATTTTCGAACGTACTTTTATGAAAGACATTGACACTTTTATTATTAGATTTAACATAAATAACCAAGACTATATACTAGCATTAGCCTCTAAAAGCTTGAAAGCTAAATGAAACCTTTGAAAATTGGGTCAAAATAGATCCAATCAGAGTAGTCTGAAGGTTAGTTGAATTCATTCATATTTAATTCGCTGTCGTTCTGAAAATTTGATAATACATTATCTTCCATAGAATAACTGTCATCTTTCACACATTTTACATTTTACGTTCGGAAGTATCAGCGATTAGTCAAACAATTGAAATGATAATCGTAGAACAATATGTGCTCTGCAAATTAACCTTTTCACTGCGCTAATAGATTACAAGCTTTTATTCTAAATGTGTCATAAACCCATTGGAAATTAAAAATTTATATTTTTAATATTTTGTCTTTTAATTTAAATTTCACTAGATAAACTATTGGCGGTTTATAGTATTACATAATCTTATTGTTAATGACAGGACCCATCGTTAAAAATATAATAGTAACAAGTTCAATGTCCTTACTGCTTCTAATTACTTTTTACAGTTTTCGACACATAATTAGAAGGCAAAGATAAGAAATTAATAAATCTCAAAAAGTATTTAAACCATTCATCTTACCTGATTAGAATAACTGTAATTGTAATAAGTAATGTAGCTATTGTAAAAACCAAGAAAAGAATCGAAGCCCCTGTGTGGTGGTGTGTACTGGGGTGTATGAAACCCCAAGTGCCATTTTCCAATTAACTTTGTAGTGTACCCTAATCCTCGTAAATATTCTGGTAAAATTTTTATGTTCAGTGGCAGACCACGTGGTTCACCGCCTTGAATTCCAGTTCCCTGCATGCCTGTATAACCAAGAATTTGTATTTGTATAGATTCGAAACGAATTTAAGTACAACTTTTCACAGCATATAGTACTAATTTTAATATTGAATAGGTATAGAGAAATTATTATACTAGTCATTAATTAACTGAAAGATTACTCTACGGATAAATATATGACATCGATGTATGTATGTGGGCGGCATTAATCACGAAACAAGCATAATTAAAAGAAAAAGACAACAATCATATATTAAATACAAAAGTCAAGTTTCAGTAATATTACTGTGTACATGGATTTAAAAAAATTAATAGTCATAGCTTATCAAAAAGGTACACTATCGAAACGGTGAATATTTTAATAAAAATTTTCTGCAAAATTATATGTCATGTTACAAATGGATATCAAATTTTTGTTATATTTATATCGATACTAGCGCTGAAATATGTGATAAAAAATATTTCGGATCATAGAGGATTAACTATATAATTGCTTTAATACTAGGTTTACGGAATACGTCAATTTGATGGGTATCGAATATTATAAACATTATTTGGTACATGTTTACGTCGATTTTGATTGACGTAAATACATGAATATGTATTCTAATTGTTTATTGTTAATCCTGCGATTCTTAAGATCAGAATGAGGGACTGTTACGTCCGACTTACTCATCTCGAATCATAAACTAATCAACAGCGAAGCGACTTACGATAATCCCGTCGTAATTACAGACCAGGTGCGCGAGCACTCCGAAATTTTGCTAATTTTTATAATGGTCATCATAAAACATTTGGACACCACGTGCGACGCAGCGACAAACTGTAACCGTAAAAACCCGTAACCGCAAAGACCGAACAAATAATTATAAATCACGACGATGACGAAACGAACCTAGACTTTTGACAATTCCTCCACCCAAAAATGCACCTGACCAATCCTAAAAAAAACCAAGTTTACGTCTCACACACCTCTCGAAAGACAGAACTCCACTAACGCGCAACTTTGTACGAAAGCCCTAAAAAATCCGCGATGTTACAATAAAGTGCTTTTTTACACAGGCATCTGGCCGTATGTTATTCTCCGATCGAGACAAGAACCCAACCATTTTCACGGAAACCCTTCCGTGTGTTACGACAACGTAACAGGGACCATCAGGTTTTCTAGGAACAGTAAAACAAATTGTACAATAAATGTCCGTAAACCTAGCGTTAAGAATACGTGTGCAGTTGCAACGTCTTTTTTAAAACTTCAGATCGTCTGCCTTTTATCGCACCTACCAATGCGTATTGGGTATTGTCCAGTAAAATACGCAGCCCTAGAAGGTGTACTGGATGGTAATACGTAATGTCGATTCAGTATAACTCCATTATATCCGAGAGCATCAATATTGGGGGTTGGTATCTGATTCGAGCCATGAAAACCAACATCATTCCAACCCTACAACATACCACAAAAGGGGAAATGCTTGTTGTCGCTTCGTTAAAATTAATAGAGAAAAGCAGCCAAATATGGAATAGCATTTTAGTTTTCAAATGTCATTTATACAAAATTAATCGTACTAAATAAATGATTATATTAAAATTTCAGTAATGTCATATGCTCACGCTTCACTGAACAATAGTCTCATATTTCCAACGTTATAAATAACTATTGATATTGAATCAATATTTAAAAATCATAAATATTGCTTAACATGAAATAGATACTACCCGAATATAAAACACTGATATTAACACACTCGAGACCAGAAACGTAGTTCTACGTCATTTTACATTTTATTAGAAGAATGTTGATCACTTAACCCTACGTTATTTCAGAATTTGTAGTTAAACATTTGCAACATAATCTGATCATATATGTTTCATACTCATACACATTTGATATGTACACTCAGTACCTGCTTCATTTCAATCACGCACCCCACGAAAACTAATTGACCTATTGAATACCTATCTATTACATACTAAATACAATTTCATTGGGTGTGCATGTTTCGACTTTCAAGAAGTTAAAATTGTAACATTCTACTTTAAAGAAAAAAGCAAAACAAAACATTTATATTCAACAATAAAGAAAATAAACAAATGATCGTGGTAAAAAGAGATATAAAAGCTATTTTCGAGTACAGACTAAAATTCTTTTATTATGACAGTAGCAATCGTTTGACTGACGGGTCACAACGTGTGCGGTGTCACAGTGAGTCATTGAGGTAGATCACTGACTACTGACAAATATAACAGGTGTTATATTTATAGAAATAGCAAAATTCCATAGTAGAACACTATTCTATATTTGGTCACCTTTCTCTGAAATTCATCTTGACGTGCAAAGGTATACGAAAAGTGCTCTATTCCCTACATTACACCGTGCATGCATGTACGTACGAAATAATAAGGCATTATGTAATAAAATGTAACGACATAATGTAGTAAGTGATACGACGGTATAGAGAAGAGGGAGATTTTTGTTTTGCAGTTACGATGACTCACAGGCACTAGCATCCTTGTTAATCGCGGGGGCGTAGATAATTTTCGAGCTACGATAATTGTCTTAACTGAAGGCAATTTTAATTCAAAACGCTTCCATACTACAGATTAATTATTGCAAATTAAGCAAAGTAGGCAGGCAAAAGTAATATTAGGGCGACCGTAACATTCACACGTAACGTTTACATCGTTTTTATATAAAATTAAACAAATACTGAGTGTGCCAGGATGTATAGTGTTTACATAGAAAAAGTATAATTAAAAAATTAACATATAACGTTTGTATAAAATACATTAGGATTAATTCTACTACAACAATGAAATTTATAGTGCATATAAGTATTTGCACTAAGTAAAGGCGTATGTATTTTAGTAAGACAAATGATTGATCGTCAAACTGCACAACCTTTAAGCAGTAAATTTAAGCACATTGACAGCCATGATCGTTGTCGATGACCGAAACTATACAATTTTCTCAAAATTATTCGAACAAAACGAGCACCATTTAATTAAAATTGTATAGTAATGTAAAGTTACTAAGTGAATTAATAATTATTGTAGTTTTAAATATAATAAAGATAATCATGGAAAAAATATACAAGAATGGTATGCATACGTCGTTATACTTGCAAAAAAATGTGCTCCTAGAAATATAGTTCTCCTTCAACCATTTTCATTGTTTTCCGGTAATATTTTTCTTTATCTAATTACAATTAAAAATGAAATACGACTTGTTTTAGTTGCAAGACTGATTCTGTATAATTCTTTGTTTTTCGATAACTGACAACAAAAAACATATTTGGAAGCTTGCATGTAAAGATATCATTTAACGAAATTCTATAGTTAGAGCAAACAAAAATCCATTTATTTTATAATTCACTAAGCCAGTTCGTAAAAGTTCAGTTAAGTATCATTCTCTACGGCCTTTTTGTATTATACGCTATACAGTTGTATCTACATAAAATTCAGGTTAATATAGCATATAACCGAGTAAAAATAAACCAATAAACAATCGTTTTCACTTTAACCAAGATGTTATTTTTTAAGAGAAAGCATCGAATCTTTTCAGAGTTAAAATTATCATCACTAAATCAATAATATTCAGAAAACGTTTCAATTCTCGCAATTTCAAAACTACATTTCACGAAGACATTTATTCAATGTTTTTGCCGCTCACATAAATTACTTATTTTAGTTATTTATATTGGAAAACAAAAAAACAATATACTAATACATTTAAGTAAAATTAGAAATTATAAAGAAAATTTGTATTGATTACTATTAAAAACACTTATATGAAACGTAACAAAATATTCATAATGAATAAGTGTTTAATTACGATGCATATCATTTGAAATATATATCTTTATTCGATCATACAGCAACAGTTATAGTTCGGAACTCTCAGTGCCATTAAAAACTTACTTTTTAACATTGAAATTTATTACGCAAGTGAAATTAGCATTTTCTTATCATAAGTACGTTACAGTCATACCAAATCGTCAGCCATAAACACAATAATGTGCGGCGCTTTTTCGTAGAGGCCAACGCCGCTGTCGATACGCGTTAGGAGCAATGAAAATGTACTGATCCAAACCAAGGAAAACCTGTGCATTTTTCACAGAAAGGTCGAAAGTGCACACCGACAATTTGAATGCGAAAAGAACACGGAGGAAAAAGAGATATTCAGTGGCAGGGAACACTTCCCGTTTATCACTTTCGAGCACAATTCACGAAGAAGAACCGTTAGAACATTATGCACGATGTTTATCGGAGAGCTCCTGCGGGATACAGAAGAATGAGGAACAGAAATAAACACGTTTATATAGTCCACCCACGAAGAAACATGTCATGAATGGACTACATGAAAGGGAAGGGAAAATACGCTAATAATTACGACAATAAAGGAGGAACGTGTTTCAACTGGGTTGTTTCTCATATTACGTGCCATCTTCCGTACTTATGTAATTGCTCATCTGCGTACTAACCATATCATGTCATGTGATTTTTATCCTGTGCCTTCAGGTTTCGTTAAATTAACCATTGTTTATTAACCATTGTAAAAATCAAATATTAATAAGAGAATGATTATTACAAAATTTGGTCAGCGGGTATTTAATGGCACGTCAACTGGGAGTAGGTGTTTTTAGCTTAACTACTACCCCAGACATAAAGAAAGGGACCAGCGTAAGGATACGAAACTATTAGTGAGAAATACCAAATTTTTTTGAATGTAAGACGGATGGATACAAACATAAAAGCCACAGTATCCTGAAATAGGTCTATTTTAAGGTAATTCGTTTTCCTTTATTGTGTAATAAAAGATATACAATAGGACGAACGAGATGTTACTTGGAAAAGAATATGGAACAGATCGAAGTTTTAGGCAAAAGTAAATGTTAAATTGGAACTTCGTTTGGAGAATAGTTAATGATCTGTCAATTTCGATCCTAATTGTTGCGTACGGCGAAGAATAAATAATTATATTTATTAACTAAAGAAATACATTCATATACAATATAAATTGCTCGATTAGTATCCCGCACTCCCAGAAATATTGCACTGAATATTTAGGGATATGAAAAAGTCAAATAATAGAAGAAAAAGTTACATTCGTGAGAAAGATTAAATAACTATGTACAACTTTTTAATAAATCACTGAAGTTCTTGTTCTTGTTTATAAATACAGAGCTGATGTATAGAGTTTTCTCTTTTTAAGTGAAGGTGGTAATGAAATACACATAGCAAATGAAATGTTATAAGTAGAGAAATGAAAATCGAACTGGCACCTAATAGTCCGTCACTGCTTAAATTCTAATATGTTTACCTGCTGTTACATGTATTCTCGTTATTGGCCGAACAGTCACGTCTAAAAATTGTTAAACGTGGAACGCGAAGTTAAGTATCCTTCTAACCGACTTATCATCCCTGCATTTACATAATACAAATTATACACATTTTATTTATATTAATAAATACGTTACTATGCCATATACTTCAAACATAAAACCTAAACAACCAATGAACTAAAGAACATTATCTGGCATACAACTATAATAAATAAAATAATATAAAATATTTATATTTAATATATAATAAATTGATATTTATATATATTTATTATACAACAAATTGTGGAATTTACGTTTTCTTTTCGTAAAATTGGGTTACTCAGGCATCCAGCAAGACACTCAAAAGTAGGGATTGAAAAAATTCCGAAAATAACTGTTTAATATTGTTATACATTGGTTCTGGTTGAAACAATTACGATGAACTGAAACTGATATCGTAACTATTTTCA